TTTTTAAAAACTTCAATAATTGTACTTCCATTTCACAAGGGCGGCACTACTGATGACTCTTAAAATTTCTGACCTTACATTACATTATTATGTACTTTCAAAGATAATTGAAAAACTTGTTAAAAAAGTAGTGGTGAGAGATATGAAACTTCTCGTATGGTCTAAATGCTACTATCCGACCAACATCATAGATGTCTCTCTGTGGCGGATAGCGACTTGCGAAGCAAGTACCGACTGCGCCACCTATAGCCCAGGTGGACTAAACTACTGTTATTAAATATGATTTGAAGGAAACAACTACTGACCGGGCAAATACCCCGACCTGCATTGGATTACACCTTCAAATCATGATAGATCGATAGCAAATATCATTTGGTCAATTCCTAACCATTTGTCTGCTCCATAACCTATGGCATACTGAGGAGAACAAATAAGTTCGAAACCGGTCTATGTCTGGTTAGGAATTGACAAATGATATTGGCTATCGATCTATCATGATTTGAAGGTGTAATCCAATGCAGGTCGGGGTATTTGCCCGCTGAGTAGTTGTTTCCTTCAAATCATATTTAATATTGTTAAAAAAGGTTGCATGATTTCCTGTTTCCATAAAATACTAAATATTAATCACAGTTCGAATTCCAAAGCAATACTGGTGATGCTGTGTTTGACTTTTTTAGCTGATGTTTATACAAAAAAATGAGGGTAAGTCAGTTGCAGTTGTGTTTTGCGATTTGTTCAAAAAATTTTACTGTACACCGAAATTTTGGCTTGAGAAATTTCGGTGTTACAGAATTTTGGATACATCTTTCCTCTGGTTTCAATACCATCTTAATGACCACATACAAAGAGTAAAAAAACTAGAGAACTACTCTGATTGAAGTTAACATAAGTTGTGTAGAAGTTTTTGTAAAGCACGTTTCAGTTGTTACTCAGAAGATTTTAACAGTAGTCTAAATATTTATACATGAAACTGTGTGCATCATTCGTAAAAACAAAAAATCTGATTGACATGCCAGGAAGCCACTATAATACCCACCAAGCCCATATTATCAATTGCCTATTCCAACTTCAAGTCTTACAAAAAATCCCATAACCTATGGCTGTAGAAAAAATATATAACTACCTACCAGCAACCCTAAAGTATGTATCTTTTCTGAAACTCTTCAAAAGCAGTAAATCCTTGGCGCATTGACAGACCCTATTGTAACTTGCGGGAGTTCTACAATGATACAAATGTAACATGCGATTAATAGTCTTGCATGTTTGTTTTTTATTTATTTATGAAGTTGTAACATTTACTTTACCAACATATGAATGTATTTGTATCTATGTGTGTTTGTACTTTAATAATTCAAATAAAACATTGTATCTTATAATTTTTCAACAAAATTATTTCTTTGGACAACAAAAGTATATTTCTAATCCATCTTCTAACTAATAAAGCACTATATTTACCGTACACTGTTGGACTCGATTTCATGCAAGACCTGCATTTAATGCGATAAAAATGAAAAGAATTAAATATATTTATTAAAATAGTGAGGGTAAGATCGTTGAAAACAGGAAAACCAAAGTTTCAATTTGTCGACGTTTCATGTATTTTGACACATCCTTAAAACTTTGAGGACAGCATAAAATTTTTTTACAGTATTACGAAACATCTTAATTTAACCACAAAAAATATAACAATTACATATAGACTTATACATGCAGTATGCATATATTATACACATATAACTACATAGTTACATACCTAATGTACCTTCATACGTACAAAAGGGATATAACAAAAGAAATAATAACCCTAATTGGGCGTTTACTTATTGAAAAATCGTTCACAGCGCAAAAACATGCTGTAAAATTATAAAAAAGAGAAATACCTATACTCAATAGAAAGATGTTGATATTTACTAATTACCATATACAAATAGTGAATATCGGTGTTTAAAGATTTATATATCCATAAAAATAGAATTTCTTTTTTTTTAACATAGTATCCTAAAAATAAATGAGTACCTTGTTATGAAAAATAAATTACTAAAAATATGTAGTACCTTTTTACGGATATAAAAATCTTTAAACACCGGTATTACAAAATTTGGGATATGATTGGTTTTAATCATCTCAGATGATGCCAACTTGGTTGGCGAAATGCGTGTCGAGTGCAGTATATAGTGTTTTGGTGTTTCGAGGAAAACTACGTCAGTGTTATCTTCACATCAGAGGTTCCAACCCACTCCAAGACTGGGATATGGTCAATACGCAGAAAGATATAGTTTTTCCGTTACGTATTCACGTTCATCGTGGCTTCGTATTGCTCTAGCTTCAAGTATGGTATATACATTATTTCTCCATACATCAAACTCGACATACTTGACATTTATCTAAACTTCCAACGAGCTTAGACGTAATAATATTGGTGCTACCCCCTTTTTTTAACTGTAGGCAGTGATGAGGATTCTAACTGAGGAGCTTTCACTCAAAAAGGGACATGTCCACATTTTTTCAAAAACGTGTTATATCATTTTTCGGCTAACTTATATCACTTTAATCGACCTATTGGGTCAAATCTGTTCAAGAGAAATTCCCATATGAAAGTACCGTGTTCGGTGAAAAGAAGACATGTCCATAATACATAGAAATATAGTTCATTTTAATCAAAATCAGACATGTCCAATGGTATTATTTATGAGTATATACCGACACATGTCAATAGCAGACATGTCATTTATGCAGTTTTTATAAATTTGATTTCTATATCGATATCTACTACCGTCGATACAATAAAACCTGATTATAGTCTTTTTACGATAAGTTTGCAATGACGACATCACAGTACAATTTAGGAATATTATATCGAGAACACTTAATTACTAAATGTGACGTCATTGCAAATTTATCGTAAAAGACAAGTCTCTTAACGTGTTCTTACGACAAGTTTGCAATGACGTCACATTTAGTAATTAAGTGCTCTCGATATAATATTCCTATACTGTGACGTTATTGCAAACTTATCGTTAAAAGAGTATATCATGACATCAACAAGCTGTTATTGCCTAGAAAGTGACCATCAAATGCATATTTAATATACACAATGGCATATTATTTTGTTGTTTCTTACTTTAAAAATTTAATACGTAAACATGGATTTAAAATTATTTACACCAGCTACGTTCAGACAAAACAGGACCTAAATATTAAGTTCAAGCAGAACCAGACATGTCTATAACGATTTTCAATTTTTTTACACTTAAAATATGAACTATATCAAACAATTTTCTTTATAGTATGTTTTTAAGTTGTAAACAAATTATATTTTAACACATTTAGAAACATATTTTTACAGGTCTCAAGATCAAACGTTTTTTACGTTTTTCTCAAAATTATTTAAATGGACATGTCCCTTTTTGAATGCACGCTCCTCAACTGTTCTGCATTGCTCAAATCTTATTCCAGAACTTTTGATTCTGTATGAAATTCATCAGATGTTAATGAAATTGGCACTGATATTGATCAAAGTGCTTTCTGTTCTTCATACTGAATTTTTTTTTCATTAATTTCGATTTTTTTTTTATAAAAATTGAATTTAACATAATTTGATATGTTTTTCATCAAATTCTACAAGGCCAAAGCATTATTTTGTCACATTTTAATAGACTGGTAAAAAATAATAATTACCAAGTTGTAGATGTAATAAGCTCAAAATATTTAAAAATATAGATACGACTTCAACGCTTAACTGGGCAGTAAAAGTAAATAAATTTAATAATTAATATATTTACCTGAGCAATTTAATATAAGAAATTTAGAGGCTTGTCGGCACGGGTTAACAATGTCCCAAAAAATTAAAAAAAATTGGTTTACTTTTATTCATATTAGAAACTTTTTAGGGCATGGGAGCAAAAAAAAAATCTGAGGTAAATAAATAAGGGACACTCTACCTAGTATACTTGTAAAATATGTAAAGAGTGAAATGAATTAAATGTTGCATGCAGTTTGAAAGATGGGTATCACATTGTATAATCCAAGGTATAATCACTCTTTATAGTAAGGTTTACTTTAAAATATATCTTTGTGGTATTATATAGGTATGCTAGTAACCAAAATGGATATAATTACACAAGTTTTATCATCATTACCTAAACAGAAATAAAGCTAAATCCTAGTTTCTAAGCGGTCCTGTTCTACTTCCGGTCAAACAGCTGTAATATTTCTATCCGGAATGGTCATTTTGTTTTTGCTGTAATATCTAGCAGGCTCTTATCTTTCTCGTTCACAGCCAACTCAAGCTTGTGGACGATCAGACGCGGAGATATTAAATAAATAACGGACTAACCAAACAATAACAGACGAGCATCTAGTAGCGACCACTAGACTTATAAGGGCTCTTCTGAAAAAAACTCTTCACGTTATGCCATGTCGTTTCTTCGAGAGTTCCAATGAAAATTTGTGTTGTTCGCTAAATTATGTTGAACGATGTAGGGATAAATCTATAAATGTTATTAATTAATGTTTATCTTATATAAACTTTCTGAATTAGAAAACTATATTTCCCTACAGTGCTACTTTTCTTATAAACCGTTAAGTTTTATTTAATTAAATTGTTGTTACTGTTCGGTAAACGGCAAAACGGCTTCTTTTACTGGCAGATTTAGGGCCGTCTCCTCCCTCCGAAATGTTTGCTTCCCATCAAAATTAACACAGAAAAAATGGTCAAAATAAAAAATAATTCGTTAATTTTCTATTTGTCTGACAATGTTGCATTATATATTATTCTATGTAGAAAGATAAACATAAACATGGGCGTGTAAAGATATGACAATGATGGTTATATACGAGGGAAGCATCAATAACAATCCAATCATGTACCTAATTTACATTTTTATTAATAATAAATAAACATCACATAAATTAGACAACCACCGAAATATAAAGCCGAAGCTGACTATAAGACGATTAAACTTAGAAAAACGTGGACACACAAACATTCCCACCGACATTGCCGATGGCGGGATTCGAACCCGCAGCTACGGTAGAATGATTTCTAGTCACACTTGTTTCGCGTGCTCTAGCCAACTACACCACCGAGCCGGTTTAAGAATATTATAGTAAATATTTATTGAAACCTCAAATTTATATAGCCCGTGGTCTTTCTGTCAATTCAAACTGACAAGGTAAATAGGAATATGGAAGACCGAAGATCAATTTAAAAAAATCTGACATATTATTGCTTCGTATTTATGCATTTCTAAAAAAAAAAAATAATTATTGGGTATTACAAAACTATTCCTTCAAATCTCTAATAGGGAACTTGCACTTTTTTTTTACTTCATAAAAATGTTCTACAATACTAAAAAAATAAGATGTGCAAAATATGACGCCTTAATTCCCAATAATAAATTTGTTATAAATTATTAAAGTTTCGCGCGCGAGCGAACCGTTTCAAACAGGTTCAAAAGCGCGGGAGTAGTCGTGACATCACACCATACAATTTACAAACGACGACGGAGATCCCAGCACTCGACCGCTTGATTTCGGATAAATTTTAAGTGTATACTTAAAATGGAAACAAAAACTCCTTATTTTAAATATTGCATTGTACTGTTGTGTAAGAATACTACAATGAAAGTGCCAGATAAAGTATTTATAATATTGCCAGAAGATAAGATTCGTCGATCAAAATGGCAAAAAGCGTGTAGAAGAAATGAAAAGGACATTTCACAGAGCAGTAGGTCTCTACATGTGTGTGATCATTTTAATGTAAGTACATTATTAAATACTATATGTCTATCTACTAGTTTTTAGCAGGCGGGCAATAAAATATTCCGAATTCCGAATTATTGAATTTTAATTAGGGTAGGATTAAAGAAAGAATGTGTATACAATGTTAGAAAATAAGATTAGTAGATAGAATATAATTTAGTGATACTAAGTAAAGGTAATTTCCTGGTGCGAAAGTAAATAGCTATTTATTATTATACTCTTCGCAAATACGATTACGAAGAGTATATTGCATTTGATCGGGACATTTCTAAAATCGTTAATATCGCTCGCAGAGAAAAAATCATTTCGTTCGTCATCGAATTCTGAACAACTTTCAAAATGCCCGTCTGTTCATCTGTCGTCCGTCTGTCCGTCCGTCACGTTTCTTGTAAGCACAATAACTAAAGAAAGAAAAGTCCGATCGAATTGAAATTTGGGCTATAAGTTAGTGTTAGCTAGAGGAAGAAATCCATTGTTTTTGAAAAAAATCAAATAGTAAATAAAAAAGTTATAGGACATTTTATTTAAAAATATGAATCTACAGAGGGTTGCAATTTTCAATGTGCTACTAAAATTGAAGTAATTTTCTATAGACACAAAAATGCTGTAAAATATACTACCACAAATTTCGCCTACGCAGTCGGCATCATCGGGAGATGAAAAAAAGTTGAAAATTAAAAATGTGATCAATATATTAGGTATTGTAAGAATGAATCTTAGTTTATACTATAAAATATACTGCCACGCATTTCGCCAATACAGTCGGCACCATCGGGAGAGAAAATTACATGTAGTCAATACATTAGGTATTGTAAGAATGAAGTTTATAAGACAAACACAAGATTCTTTTCAAAAAACTGCGAAGAGTATCCTACAGAATGTGCAACAATTATATAAAAGTTCAATAACACTACTGTCTGCGAAGAGTAAAATGTTTACCTCTAGTATATATAGTATATTGCAAATACCTTTCCCTTGCCCTTTAATTTATTCTATTCAAATCTTACATTTATCTATTATGTGAATGATAACACGACACAATCACTTATTTCTCTTGCCCCAAAACATAGTACGAAAATACCTACGATAGGTAATTATATTATATATTTATATCAGAACAGTCACTAACAAATCAACCACAGTCTAATAACACCATATTGTACATATGTTTATATAGAATGTCATACTTTGTTAATTTGTTTGTATTATTATTTTTAAGTATTTTATGAATGAATTGATTTTTAGTTTCTTTTTCTGTATATAATATATGTATATATTAATATAAATCTTACTCTGTACCCCATACAAGTTGTAAATAATCTACTTAATTGTGAATAAAGATTTTAAATTGGAATTGGTAAACATCTGATTGTGTTGCTTCCCGGCGCGACGACTACCGAATATTGTATGGTGTGACGTCACAGTCAATAGTAGCTCGTTTCGGGCCACTTCAATTTTATCGCTGTTTAGATCCTTCATACTGATCGCGTGGAATTAGAAATCTTATTTTTTTGTACATGTTTTATTACAACGTTACGCTATGTTTTTTAGTATTATTTTTATTTTTAAAATTATAGGCAAGTTCCCTATTGCTGGCATAACATAATTAGCTGGGGGTTGTACTTATTGACCGGTAACTCAGTTAGCAGATCATGAATAAGGGCTTAGATTGATTTGAGTTCTCACCAAAATCTAGGCTGGGCGCCAGGACTTTTGCAAGTACCAAATAATGATTTACTATAAAAGGTAAAAATAATGTTCATACCTGAACTCTGTTGGGAAGGAAATCGAATAAAAAGATATTATTTAATAAAAAGTATAATCAACTTGTAAGAATATATACAAAAATTTACATAGGCTAAGATGGCTCTTTTAGTTAAAAAACACCTAGTTTTGTTTGAAGACTAAGAAATAAAAAATAAAAAAAAGGTGACTGATCTCTTACAAAAAATTCTTCTGACCAAATATAAATGTTCATTGGGACGAAGATCTTATGTAACTTCAAATGGGTTAGTCCAGCGAAGAATCCACCAACGGCAAAGCTCTTAATGGGTTCGGTGTCAGTTTGAATCACCACTGTCAGTACTGCAGTTACCCTTGAGAAGAAATGCCAGTTGTATATAATATCGTTTTCCTGCTCCACCCAGTATATAATGATCAGTTCAATCCACGAGTTATCCTCTTCTCTTGGTCCAGGTATTTACATAAAATGGGGAGAGTTTAATGAGATCAGTATTATAGCATTATAGCAGCAAAGTAAAAAGCTGTGACGTTTGAATTGTCCAACTACGTAGATAAAATATGAGAGAACACAAATTTACAGAGTAAATCGCAAACTGAACAAACTAGGATTGGTATCCCACAATACTAACTTAAGTATCAATAAAAGTTACGTTAAATAGAAGAAATACTAGTCCAGCAAATACACTAGGTGTAGTTATGATAATAAACAAAGTGAAATAGGTATCCACTATCCACATGCTTCGCAAGTCGGCGGATAGCGACTTGCGAAGCAAGTACCGAGAGCGGCGACCTCTAGCTCAGGTGGACCAAACTACTGTTATTAAATATGATTTGAACGAAACAACTACTTAGCGGGCAAATACCCGCCCTGCTTGTATTATACTTTCAAATCATGATAAATCGGTAGCCAATATCATTTGTCAATTCCTAACCAGATATAGACCGGTTTCGAACTTACTAGTTCTTAGTATGCCATAAGTTATGAAACAGACAAATTATAGTGGCCAACCTGCTAGTCATATACTGACTAAGGTAAATTGAGTAGTGGTGAGAGGTATGTGAAACTTCTCCTATGGTCCAAATGCTACTATCTGACCGACATCATAGATGTCTCTGTGGCGGATAGCGACTTGCGAAGCAAGTACCGAGAGCGGCGACATCTAGCCCAGGTGGACTAAACTACTGTTATTAAATATGATTTGAACGAAACAACTACTCAGCGAAACAACTACTCGCTATCCGCCACAGAGACATCTATGATGTCGGTCGGATAGTAGCATTTGGACCATAGGAGAAGTTTCACATACCTCTCACCACTAGTCAATTTACCTTAGACAATATATGACTAGCAGGTTGGCCATTATCATTTGTCTGTTCCATATCCTATGGCTTACTGAGGAGAACTAATAAGTTCGAAGCCGGTCTATGTCTGATTAGGAATTGACAAATGATATTAGCTACCGATCTATCATGATTTGAAGGTATAATCCAATGCAGATCGGGATATTTGCCCGCTTAGTAGTTGTTTCGTTCAAATCATATTTCTAAGTGTTAAAATCTTATTCAGTATATAGTTTAGTCCACCAAGGTTAGAGGTTATAGCTCTTGGTACCTGCTTTGCAGGTCGCTATCAGTCACTAAGGCATCAATGATGTCTGACGGTTAATATCACTGGCCACCAGAGAGATACACTTATCACTCACTATGTCTGTCTTGCTTAGTCTGCTTTAGGCTAGCCTGGTTTATTATTATTATTTGCCTTTTCCATTACTTATGGCATACTGACGAGAACATAGCAAGTTCGAAGTCGGTCTATGTCTAGTGAGGAATTGACATCTAATTTTAGCTACCAAACAAGATTTGCAGGTTTAATTCAATGCAAGTCGGGGCTTTTTGTCCGCTGAGTAGTTGTTTCCTGTAACACTTATTCAGTACTTTGTATCTGATATACGTAATTGTGATCAGCTATTTAATATACTTAATTAGACATCATGACATATGCAACCAACTTAATATACAAATTTGACAAAATCGTTACAATGCAAGTAACAAAAAATTGTTCGGGGAGGTCGATTTTTAAATACATTTCTCCATTTGTGTAAATATTTTTTTAAAAAATGTTTGCAAAAGTGATGATGTCATCGACAATTTTTTAAATGGCAACCTCCATGACAGAGTTGTGGGTCCTTACTTTTTTTAAAACAATTTAAGTGGTGAAATTTACTTACAATTTCTTCAAAAAGGAGTTAATTCGTGCGCTAGCAATCCTGTTCACATATTCGAAATTACTTTCATTACCTCCCCTGAGAGGTGGATAGGAAGAAGAAGAAGAAGAAGAAGAAGAAGAAGAGAATATCGAATGGCCCGTTAGATCGCCAGATATAATCCCGTTGGACTAATGAGGTTACTTAAAAAGCAGAGTTTATGTAAATATAAGTTTATATTTATGCAAATTTAGAAGATTTAAATAAATAATTTGGTAGGAAGTGAGTTAGATAAGCCCTATGTAATTGCTAATGTTGAAAGGGAGTTTATTAGTCCAATATAACGTTGTAAGGATATAAACGGACATTTTGAACATTTA